ATAACCTTCTGAATGAGTGCTAGGAACTTTCTGCTTCTGTACCAAGTTTGGAGACAATAAATTACTTAGTTTCTTTGATTTTACTTCTACCTAAAAATAATATAATATATATTTTATAATCCTTCAATATATATATATATATATATATATATATATATATATATATATATATAAAGTTCAATATTATTCTTATATTAAAATTAAAATATTAATATTAAAATTATGAAGTATATGTGAATAAAAGAATAATGTAAGAATAATGATAAAGTTGTATCTCTTTTCATATATAATATTTAATCCTTTAAGTATCACTGGTACCATTAGGGACTACTTAGGTTCGGGCAGTTGAAACCTTATAAATATGCTATTTAAAGTATTTTTGACAATATTTCATTAAAAAACAAAGTTATTAGAATATTCTATGAATTATGCACCTTAAAGTGTTAAGGTTCTCTAGACAAATATGTTCCAACTGAATATAAAAAACTATAAAGATATTTTTCAGTATTGCAACTCATAAGAGAAATCTAATAGGAAAATACTTCTCTGCACAAAACTTGTAAGTGACAGAAATCTTCTTACCTTGGATGTAGAGAGATTCCGCCTATGCCTGGCGTTATATCTCTCAAACAAGTTTTGATATTTTGTCGTATCCACTTCCTTGTTATTACCAAAATCAATAGTGAAGGCCAGTGGAGTCTGAGATACTTGGTGGCTGTTGGCGTGCTCCGTTATTCCCTCTGACAATTCAGTCTTATCATCCTCCGGCGTCGCGATTTGGTATGGACTGTGCGATGAATTGGCGTGTTCCTGGTACTTGCTTGTCGTCGCGTTACCGTTATCGGAAGCAGAATCAATAGAAAATTCATAGTTTGTCATAGCTCGCACATCGACAGCTTCCTCGTCGCCAGCCGTTACATCATCGGCGTGCAACAGCTCTTCATTGTTTGGCAGGAAGTCATCGCTAAGCTTTAGATTAGCATCGCCGGTACCAGAGGCTACTGTCGAGAGACGAGTGTCAGCCACCCTGGACGTGCCCGTCACTTCCATATTCACTACTTTTTAACATGCCAATCTTAAACAACATCCGTTAAACAACGGCACGTATCACACATACGAATTTGTCGTGGTTGAATTGTAAAAGCCACTCCTAGGAACGCGTCGCACAGCTCTCGGGCGGCGTCATCCGATATAGTACACGAGATTCCTTTGACGCATCGACACAGGTGCGTCTATTATACGCCATTGACTGCCATTCGGCACCATTGACGGGGAGAAATGTCAACATTCATCGTAGGTAACTGCCCTGAACTTTAGGTCTATTCTTTTTAACTAAGCTACCTGAACTGGTCGCACCTATCTGCACCAGTTTAGGCTAAAAACCACTTCAGCTAAAAAGAACAGACCTTTCTTTAGGGATTCGAGTTTTCTATTCGATTACTATTGGCTCCTGCACACAGGACGCGGTAATGCTTGCCGCGCAGCGGAAGTCCGCGCGACAGCCAATCAGTATGTTGTTTTTCCATAAGAGCTAGAAGGTTATTACGGAAAGCAGCATATTGATTGGCTGTTGTACGAACTTCCGCCGCGCGGCAAACATTACAGCGTCCTGTCTGCAGGAGCCATAAACATGTTCGACTGGCTTTGGGTTAACCCACTTTGGATTATCCAGCCTACGTTTATTGGTCGAACAAGTATTTATAAGCTTTATGATTGGCTAGTAGAGATTTAAGGCTGGTTTATGATGGTCGTAATCCGTTAAATTATGCCAGAACCGTAAAAATTAACCAATCATAGTCGAGTTATAAAAGAATAATCGACTGTGAGTGCTTTCCAATTGGGTGCGTTCAGCAAACTCAACAGTTGCACAACAATTGAGCAATTCGTCAATGTAATTTATCTAGATTTAAAGATCTAACAGTAAAAACCAATAATCGCTGATTGCTCACTGAGCGCTTTTTCCGCTGAACGCTCCCATTACTTAACACACTTGACACACGTATACCAGTAAAACCAGTTTATTGGTTACATATTATCTAAAATATCTTGTAAGATAATATGCAACCAATAAACTGGTTTTGTGTAACACAATGTATGCAACTGGAAAGCACCCTGTATTGATTAATAGCATGTTCGATTGGCTCTAGATTAACCCACTCTGGGTTATTCAGCCTACGTTTATTAATCGAACAAGTACTTATAAGCTTTATGATTAGCTAGTAGATACTTATGACGTCATTAATCGTTCTTGGAGCAATTAACCCAGGGCTAGAGAACCTCTTGTATAGAGAATCGCCAACTTGGTCACGTGACCAGCCAAGTTGGCGCCTCACTGTGATTGGTTCATTGAGAGTCGGCAGTCGTAGTCGGCAGTCGGGTCAGCCTGTGCAGTCGGTAGTCTGAGGGTACTATTTCACGTGTCGTACGACAAGCTTTTTGGATACGTTCATTGGTTGACGAACAGAGAACCTAGAAATACTCTATTCGCCAACTAATAAACGTATCCGAAAAGCTTGTACGACACGTGAAATAGCACCCTGATACGGGCTTTACGATTCTTTACGACTCTACGACTTCTATTGTAGACGAGCCTTTACATCACTCTACGCATGCGCTAAAGGCTTCTTGTTGCGAAAAAAATCTTCTAAACTGACAGCACTGATCTAGTCGAATAGGAAAAAGAAAGGTTATTCGAAGCTTCCTCGTTAGCAAGTAGTGTTATGTTCTCGATGAATACCTCAAAAAAGTACTAATTGGCGTTGTTGAAAATTGATATTTTGATAGAAGTTCTACACATCCAAAAACTGCTTATAATAATAATACTGTTTGGGCATGTTACTAAAAATGGTAAGATATAATTTAATAATATTAAAATAATAGAAATGTACAAAAAGGAAGCAGAGAATATTAGAATAAAAAACAAACATTTTTTGACGGTGTAACCATAATTTTATTGCAATATTCAATATGCTAATGTAAACTATGTTCCAATATCTATACTGGTACTGAAAATCTATAGTATGTGCAATATATATGTATTTTTAGACTATAAAGATTGAAACAAGCTTAGTATAATTAACTAGATAGAATGAATAATATTTCTTAATTCATATATACTTTATTGGTTTTCAGATTTCACCTTACCAAGCAATGATAAAAACCATAAGTGATTCTTTAACAACAGATTCAAAAACTGCACTTGCAATTGCATTTACTTTTGGTTATCTTATAGACACAATCTTAAGGAATACAGTTCTTAAAAGACATCGTACAAAGTCATCTGAACACGCTGAGAATAAAAATAAGAGGAAGAATAAGAATTTGAGTTTTAATTCAAATTCCGACGATGATGACGAAGATGATGATGATGATGATTATGATGATGATGATGATGATGAAGAAGAAGAAGAAGAAGATTGTAATGAATATCCACAACGTGAAGAATACAAGATGGTTTTTGCAATTAATTCAGAGTTGAAAATGGGAAAAGGCAAAGTGGCAGCACATTGTGCCCATGCTGCTATCGCGGCATTCAAGTTGGCCCTTAAAAGAAATCCATCACTCATAGATTATTGGGCAAAGTCAGGCCAGGCTAAAATTATAGTTAAGGTATTGTATTATAAGTTTATAATATATGCTAATAATTTCTGCAGTAAATGAAGAGAGAAAAAAATTGTGTGTGTGTATATATATATATATTATTTTTTAATATTAACTATTCATACACACATAAGTTATATAAGATATGAAGATTCATTTATAAAAAAACATTTTTTTTACTATACTTAATAAATATATTTAAATATACACAGTTAATAAATATATTTTTTCATAGACATAAAAGAGATATCTTGATTTTTAGGTGGATGACGAAAAGCAACTTATGAATGTAGAACAACAAGCTAAAAAAGCAGATCTTGTCGCGGAAATCATACGGGATGCGGGTCGTACGCAAATACCAGCAGGAAGTAAAACAGTATGTGTAATTGGACCAGCTCCAACTAGATTAATAGATGTGATAACTGGTGCATTAAAATTGTATTGACGATTTATAAAAATTGATCTTTTTTTATTACATGCTCAAATTTACATGTATTTTTATGATCTCAGTATCATATTGTTTGTTTAAAATCTTCAAATCTTTTTCAAATGATTTCATTGTATATCATCTTGTAATGGTATATTTATCAGTCACTTAAATCATGTAAGGTTGATATGCTACATAATATAGCATAAATGTATATCTGTGAAATTAACATTCTCCCAAATAAAAATATACATGAACAAATATACATGAAAGCAAATTTTCTTCTCAATAAGCCTTGACAATACTGTGTATCTTGTAAATTGCTCTTAAAATTAATATAGTACACCCTTGTATTTCATAAAATGTAACATCAAGTGTTAATCTGTGTTGACTTTCACGTTCTTATTGTCTGTGAAGTGTCAAACATACAATGTGTAAGTGACACTTTTAATCGAATGGTTAAGGCTCAGATGTTGATGAAGTTAAGATTATTCATGCCAGTATCAAGCAAATGTCAGTACAAACACAAAAGAAAGAATTCATTTTTTTAGACAACATTCGAGCCCTACGAATACGGCTATCTTTTGCTAATTAATAATTGTTTGGACGGATTAACATTAGAATTGAGCATATCAGCAAAACTTATCAGCAAGATTATCATCTTCGTAAATAATAGAGCTTGTTGTCCCACATGTACACGTATGCCTTCAACAGGAAGAAACACATGTGAAAACTTGTCTCTAGAAAATGTATTTAATAAATGTTAAGGCACCCACGCGCGACGTATCCTTCCGTTACGAATGCTTCATTTCGAATACTGAGAAATATTGGCAAATTCAATTAATCGCACGCTCACGTTACCGCTTCTTCACTGATCGTCGGTTTCCTGCCTAGATCTGCACTCGCAAAGCGGCAATAATCAATTTTTCGATGTATCTCCCGTTCTTTGGTACCCAGTACTATCAGCGATTACATTCTAAAACATATAACACTTATAAATATTGTATAAATAATCTATACCGGTGGCGCGGGAGCTTTCCGAGGTATTTTGTTCGAGCTGGCGGCGCTGCATTGTGACTCAGCGATCGATCTGCCGTCGGCCTCATCCCGCCGGCAAAGCTCCGGTTCGTTTTGCATCCAATTTTGCGTCTGATTATGACCCGATTTCGCCGATTGCGATTCCTCATTTTCTGGCACGGAGCCGACCTCCTCCAGCAATTTTGACAGGGACGGCGCTAGACCCAAGCCTAAATTCCGCTCGTGATACACTTCGGAAATCGTGGGCGTGAGTTCGCGAGTCAGACTCGTTAGGGAGGTGGCCAAGTTTCTCAAGTTCTGAGGATGCGTCTCCGTGGACTGAGTGGTATCAGTCTGCGCGCAGATATCCTCGTTCGTCGTGGCATGCCGGGGTTTTCTCGACGAGTTATTACCAATCTCCGTTCTTACGCTGAGTCTCTCCAGCACGGTGGCCGGCAATGGCGGTAGCGGTTGACGTCTTAATACAGTGGCATGACCGTTGTCCCAATCCGTCACCGAACTACTCGAGCTCGAGCCAGGTCTCACGTTTTGGTCGGGATAAAGATTCCGGATGCGCGTTTGATGATTTAGATTGAGTGCTACGGGAGGACTAGGCGTGAATGCCACATCTGATTCACCTGGAACAAATATATTTGAATATGCTTTTTCAGATTACAAATTAGATATTCTTGCTTGATTGTAAATTTAACTAAAATTAATTGAAAGAAACATGATGAAATCGAGAGCATTTTATTGAGATAATTTTCTCTATATTATTAAAAGATAAATTATAAGAAAACTATCTTTTTTATCACATTAAAATAAATAATTAAAACTAGAAGTTAATTAGTATATTTAATTTTAGAAGTATTTTTATATATACCTCCTCCATTTTGACATGGCTGACGCGGCGTCGGTATTAGAACATTTGACGGTTCCATGGTTTTTCCATCTGGTTCACCACGATGTCGTACGTAACTTGCAAACGCTCCTCCCAGTCGTGGTCGCTCCATAAGATTTTTCTCGGTATGGGCCACGGAAGCCAAACTCTCCATTGAACTACTCGAGTCTAAGCTGAGACTCTTCGGCGCTTCTTGCGTGTCTGTAATTAAAGTTACACAAATGAATATAGTTAATCTCCATCTCCTCTTTTTTATACAGTTATAAAAAATATTTTATATATTTTATAAGTATAAATATCATATATTATATTACGATGTAATTTTTCTACCATTATTATATATGTTAATATAAATTTTAATTTACCGAACAATGCTAGAAGAGCTTGAAGAGCAAATTGCACAGCTCTACGCGAGGCTTGCTTCCCTGTTCTCAACGTCACCTCCGACTGTCCGACCTCCATTAAATCGAAGCCTAAGCTGGCAAACAATTCGTGTGATCCTGAAGCTCTCCAAACGTGTACGGGCAAAATAACTTCTTGACCTTCTGTTGCGCAACTAGCTCTTCTCATGGCAGCAATTACATCTTCTGCAGCTTCTGGAGCCTTTAAAATATTGTCAACGCTGATTAAAAACAATAATATGACTAAAACTTTCAATTTAAATATAGTATAAATTATAAATGCGTTAAAATATATCAACTAAATTTAAACAGAGAAATATGATTAAAATTTTTACCGATTAGCTATTAAAATAAAAAAAAATTAGAATAAACAGTATAAGCATAGTACCTGTAAAAGTCTAGCTAGAGCGTGCAACGATGATTGACCTAATCCTAGTAAAGCTTGTAAGCTGGCGCTGCATCTAGTCAATCTCTCTTCGGGATCGCTCTGAGGGAAAAATACGGATGAAGGTATACCATTGCCGGCTGGTTCGAATCTAAATCCTACGGACATCAGAAGCTCTCGCCAACCGGTAGCCGCGCCCACTTTATTTTCGATACTACGCTGAGTAGTATACATAGCGTTTTTCTGACCGCGATGAATTCTCTGTAGTGATTTCTCCACTAGATGAAGCGTTACTCGTAGTGCGTCTCTGCTTTGTTCGGGACCGCCGCGTAGTAATTCCGCTAATGCTTGACCCATGAGTGCAACCTAGTGAAAGAATAATGCATTAAATTTTTATTCAGAGTAGTCATCAATATAAATAACGTCAAATTTATATAAAAAACACTTTCGAAAATTGGTAAATTCACATACATTTCGTGATTTTCCAAATAAGTTTTCATCTAATATACCTTGTTAGACAATCTTGCATCTCCGCCGATCAGCAGCCAACCAGCCCAATTCGCGGGATGAGCAAAATGTCTCGTGTGTTGAACGGTCTGCATCGCCTCAGCCAAGGCTCGTGACGCTCTCGCGCCTTGCAGCATCGCACTGTAAAACGCTCGCAGCAGGATACTGCCAGCGGTCGGTGGTACTGCCCACATCCCTATTAACACGCATTGCGCTCCCGCACTCAGTAGAGTTTTTACGAGATTCTGTATACCGTCCGACGTTGCGTTTGTGCTCTCCACGTTATTCCAACTGTGACCGCTGGATACGACCACTAAGCGCGCTGACATTCTCAACCTCAATATGTCCGCTTGACTTATCAGATATTCTGGTCTTTCGGATGGCTCCTCACACTGGTCGGCGGTGAACGCTAAACTACCAGTGTTCCAAAATACCGGTACCGTCAAATGAACGCACTCCGCGTCTGGTAGAGACCTCAGAACTGCCGATCTCGTAGCCTCAAGACCTATCACATAAGTGCATAAGTAAGAGAACAATTTTATCGTGTACAATCGAAAGATTTTATATGCATTAAATGATTGAGTTTACTAACCAGTCATCGCGCGGGCTTCTAACAATTCAGCCACTATCTCTGACTCGGTTTCGGTAGAAGCGACACTCTCGGGCCATCCGTATTCTTCTCTTATGTCTTCCGGCAACACAGGGTTTCCTGTGACCAATGCAGCCACAGTAGCACCGCCTTCCAGCACAGGTGTCTTCGATCTCTTTCTAAGAGCCGCAAGAGACGGTACCACCAACAGTGAGAACCTTTCGCATAGATAATCCTCACCCGGATTAGACTGCAGAGCTGGGAACGGTGCCAAGTAGAGAGACTTTTCTACCACCATGATCAACTCTTTTCGTGGCGGCGGCAATAGATCTTCGAAAGGGGCAAGAAGGAGATCGTAAAGCACCTGTATCGGCAACGGTGCCTGCCAAGTGGGTCCTTTCACTCCTCGTCCCCAACGAGCACTCCCCGCACGAGAACTCACAGAGCCAACACTGAAGAGACTGCTCAAACTGTACGAACTGGCGTTTAAGTGATGACCCCTCGATGGGATCTTAGTGGATTCCTCTATAAGATCATTGCTTTCGTCTAAAAGCGCCTCGCGCGCTTGAATAACTCTCTTTTCCAGACCCATACCATCGTCCAAAGTGGTAGAATGGAATCGTAATAGTCCACGCCCTGGTGCTAAACACCATGCGTGCAATTCGCAACCTACCTCGCTGAAACAATTTTACTTAATCGTTAGTATTATTTTTTAAAGATAATTACTTTTAAAGTTTGGACACACACACACAAATAGAGAAAATGATTAAAAACATATTAGAGTAAAAAATTAAAGTAAAAATTAAAGTAAAAAATTAAAGTAGAAAATTGAAATAGAAAAGTTAAAGTACCAAAAATATTTCTTGATTGTACCTGTAATATAAAATAACTCCACGTTGTCGATCGATAATCTCAGAATAATGGGCGGCATCATCCAAGGAGTTGCTCTTAGATCGTCTCGATCTTTCCGCCCAATTTAGAGCTTCTTCCGCTCGGTTCAAGCTGATCAGCACTTTCTGCAGTATCCTGTACGTCTCTGACAGTAACTCCGTTCGGCTAGGTTGACCGCACGTCAGTGATACTGAAGTACCATCTAATGATTCTAATAAATTCGCGGCTTTCTCTAGATGTTCCACGGAGATGCTCGCTTCTCCGGCCTCCCAGTGTACGAGGCCAAGTCTGTGTCTCAGTCTGGCCGCTTCCTCTCTTCTACCCAAGCCCTCGGACAGTGACAAACCAGATTGCAAGTAACTCAAAGCGCGGGACAAGTCCCCACACAGATGATGAAGTCTTCCTAAACTCGAAAAAGCTGCCGCTCGAGCAGGTTGATCTCCTGCTGCAGCCGCCAGGCTCAACGACTGTTCCTGCAATCTTATAGCTTCTTCATACTGTCCTAACGTCTCCTGGGTTACACCCAGATTAGCACAAGCGCGAGCTTGCAAGCCAGCTGCGTCTAAACCCTCGGCGATTGATAATTCCAGTTGATGATGACGTAATGCGGAATTCGGATCGTCCATTAGAAGATGAACTGCTCCCAATCCGCTAGCAGCTTCTGCTTCAGCTGCTTTGTCACCAAGTCCTCTTGCTAAAGCTAGTTGATGAGACAGACAACTCACAGCTTGTTCGTGGTTACCTAATGCAGCGTGTACTCTGCCTGTGTATGTGCAAAAAATTAAAATGTAAATTAAAAATAACATTAAAAATTGAAACTAAAAATCAAATTAAAATATCATTTGAATTTTCTTCATTAAAAAAAAACATTAAATTATATTCGTATACTATATTGTAATAAATTTATATCAAAGCTTTCAGATATTTAATCAGTAAGAAACTAATTTTTAGCATTACTTGTATATTTTAAACCATGTAAGATTATATCAATATGTCGGCTTACCTAGATCACCGTAGGCGGCACCTCTCGCTTCAGGACTATCTACTTCGTGAGCGGCCACTAATCTCTTTTCGAAACATACCAAAGCTTCTTGCAGGTTGCCAGTTGCTTCTCGAGCTCTTCCTAATCCTCGATATGCTCTCTCTTGATCTCTGATACTCTTCAACTTCGTCGCGGCCGTCAGTTGTTGCTCATGACATTTGATAGCTTCCTCTAAATCGCCTAAAGCTTCATAACAGTCTCCCAAGTTGCCGAGTGCTCGGGCTTTGTCAAGCAGAGCTGTACCAGTAGTTAACGGTTCCAGGGTCGCTAATTGTTGCTCGAAATAACCGATGGCATCTTCATAATGAGCCATATTTAGTCTAGCTATGCCCAAATTTCCTACAATAAAAATATGACTATTTATTTTAACTGTTTAATTATTCTCTCTCTGTGATTTCACCATAAATTATATACCCTTCATTCTATATGCATAGCACTAAAAAATTTACCCTCTTCGATTAAAAATAAATTAATGTGTGCTTTAAATGTTGAGAAATTGAATTACCTAATGCTTGAGCTTCTACTCCAGAATCCGCTAATTCCTTAGCTCTCTCCAGCTGTTCCTGATAACACTTAACCGCATGAGTATATTGCCCTAATGCCATATGCACTGCACCCAGATTTCCATGTGCCCTGCACTCGCCACGCAGATCACCAGCCTCTTGTCTCAGAGTTAACTCTTGCGTGTGAAAACCCAATGCCTTGTCCAAGTTCTTCGTAGCTCGATGAGCGATACCCAATGCGCCATAGGCAGCCGCTTCCAGACCACGATCGGCAGCTTGACGAGCTAAGTTTAATTGACGTTGATGCATCTTGATAGCTTCGTCAACTTCTCCCATGCGTAACAAACAGTCACCGATGTTTCCCAGGGCACGAAACTTACCGGCCAAATGCTTGGTCATATGCGCAATGGCTATATCGAATAATCAACGATTGTACAATGCTACACGAAGTTTGCTAAAAAAATGTACATAGTCTTTTCTGTTATATCTTTTCATAATTTTTGAAAATATTTTAACCGATTACAACCAATAATTTTTTCTATCGTTTTACACATGTTTCTTTCATTGATTTACACATTCACATACTTTTAATTACAAATAAGAAAAATGTGCTAAAATATAACAGGAAAAAAATAAATTATTAATATCAATTTGAGACACAAATCGAATAGACTTTACCCAAATAATATTTTTGGCACTCCAGAGCAGTGTCTAAATTTTCCAGTGCTAAATGAGCTAATCCTAGATTACAGTAAGCTCTGCCCATCCCCGATTTGTCCTGCAGGTCCTTCGCTAATGCTAAGTCCTGATCGTAGTATCTGACAGCTTCCCGGTGATTTCCCAGACAATAATGAGCGTATCCCAAGAAATGACACGCTTTAGCTTCTCCTTCTACGTCATGCAGTTCTTGAGACAACATAAGATAATGTTCGTAATACGGTACCGCCTCCTCGAATCTACCGCGCGAGGACAGGCAGTTGGCGAGATTCAGCAGAGCGCACGCTTCGCCAGCTGTATCCTTCAATTCACGCGCTATAGCCAAGTGAGCTCTATAATGCCTCAATGCTGCTTCATGGCCTTGCACAGCTTGATACGCAACCGCCAAGTTTCCATGCGTGCTAGCTTCTGAGCTGCGGTCGTTAACCTGTAAAAATTAAACGATGTATTAGTTCGTTACGTACATATATATATATAGAAAAAAATATTGAATAAATTATTAGAGATTTTTCAATGATAATGTAAAATTTGATTCGTTTCAGCTTTGAACGCGTTAAATGGTCTACCAACCTCTTTGCTTATCGTCAACTCCTGTTTATGGTACTTAATAGCCTGCTCGTAATAGCCTAGAGCGTTATAAGCATTCCCGATATTCCCATACGCTCTACCCATACCGGCTTTATCTCCTAACGATCTTGCGATTCCCAAGTGAGCCTGATGTAACTTCAAGGCGGCATCGTGCTCGCCAAGCAATTGATACACTATGCCCAGATTGCTACAAGCTCGTCCCTCGGCTACTTTGTCTTTTGTGGCCAACGCTACATCGAGCTGTCTTTGATGCCAAAGCTTGGCTTGTGCCAGGTCACCTGTATAAATAGATGCATTAATGAAAATATATTTTCAACATAAAAACAAACAAGTTTTTTGTTAGCAGAAAAACTTGAAGAACAAGTTATTTTGCATTATTCTTCGCAGGATAGAAGTCTCACCTGCGCATCTAGCGGCATGACCTAATCCCGCGTACGCTCTGGTCTCTATTGCTCTGTCGCCGAGTTCCTGAGCTATTCTGAGAACGTTCTCGTGATAAGCCATCGCCTGTCCGAAATTTCTACGGTAATGATGAGATGATCCCAGGTTGCTAAATGCTCTCGCCTCTTCCACGCGATCTCCGAGTCGTCTGGCTATTCTCAGGTGTTGTGTATGACAATCGACGGCACTCTCAAATTCTCCCATTGCTAAGTAGACTGCCCCGACGTTGCCGATTTCGCGCGCTTCCTGAAGCCGATCACCCATTTGCTTGACCAATTGCACACACTGCTTATGGGAGGCCAGGGCATTCGGTAGATCGCCAATCGCCGTGTAAACGTGTCCCAAACTAGTCAACGCCGAAGCTGCCGCCTGAGTATCCTTGCATTTCATTGCCAGAACAAGTTGATATCTGTGGGCCGTTAAAGCTTCCTTAAAGCTACCTTTGCTAAAGTAAGCAGAGCCCAAATTTCCGTGAGCTCTGCACTCGCCTTGTGTATCCCCCAAAGAACGTGCAACTCCTGAAAGTTATAATTGAATAAAAAACATTGTCTCGCATTATTTTTACTACAAATTTATATCACTCAAAGATCATATAGTTACGCATATTTCTACTTTGTGTTACTTTTAATATTTCGTTATTTCCGCTTACCTAAGTCTTGCTGCATGTAGTTTATCGCTTTGTCTAAGGAATTCAGTGCCCAATAAGCACTGGACAGAGCAGAAAATACAGAACCTCTCAATTTTAAGCTGCATGATCCTATAGTGAGTGCTGCTTCTAGCACGCCGGCAGCCGCCCTGTATTGTCCAGCCCCAAGTAGTTCCTGACCGACCACAGATATAACGACAAACGGAGATTCATCCAACTTCATTGCACGTAACTGCTGAAACGTTGGTTCCAAGGTTGGTCGTAACGGAGATTTTAAAGATGCTTCTACTAAACCGGATAATAATTGACGATTGGATGCATCATGAGCTAATCCTGTGCTGAAGGCGACAAGTGCCTCCCCGTGACGTCCCAGGCATTGCAATGCTACTCCTTGACGATAGTACGCCTAATTAAAAAATAACTTTTATAAATCTGTACTAATTGATTACTAAAAAAAGAAAAGGTAAGGAAAAATATATACTTTTGGCCATTGTGGACTCAACTCAGTAGCTCTGACGGCATCCTGCAATGCAAGTGCGAATAATCCCATCTTGAGTCGTGCAGCTGATCTATTCGAGTAAAGTACATGGCTAAGGGGGTCCAAAGCAAGGGCTTCCGTGTACAAGGTTGCGGCAAGCGCGTAATCCCCATTCTGACATGCCGCGTTACTTCTGCGCACCGTCTCTAAGAATAGTGCCCGGGATCCAGCGGCCAAGGCCGACGTACCTTCGGGCTCCACCTTAAATATAATAAAAATTAGTATATTAATATACTAATTAGTATAGTTTATACTATATTAGTAAAGTGTATTAGTATAGTACTTCAAAGTAATGCGTGATTTGCCATGTCTATAAATTTAGAGATAATACTGATACAAAATGCTACATGAATTTTAAAATAAAATAGCGCGATAATATACTTTAAAACATTATCTATCATAAACTGTACGATAAACAATGATTTAAAAATGTTTAATATATAATGTATTATATAGTTGAAATTATATATAGAAAACATATAAGAAATTACATTGAAGAAATATATTACTTTTATAAGATTTTAAAGAGATAAAAAATTGTTCACTTCTCTCTAATAATGTAGTGTGCAAACGTAAAATTAATATAAGATTAATAAAATAATGAAGCAAATAAATCAAATAAATAAATGAAACAAAATTAATTTTAATTAATAAGCAATAAATAGATTTGCTCCCAAACCATGAGACTAATCAAAACATTATATAATGAGAAATATAACGCGCGCGAGATCGAGAAACTGACCCAAAAATCATGCGATTTTCTCCGATCGGCCGCGATATCGAAGAAATCTCATCGTTACCTCAGAGATATCCCTATGAGACATTGCTTAAGACGAGCTAGTAGCATCCTCTGGCATGGACATTATCTGCGGCGGGCGAGCTGGCGTGAAAACCGATCGGGCCCCGAATTTTGAACGTGCTACACTTCTTTTCTCTCTCTCTATCGCTCTCTTTCCCGGTGGGATTTATCTCGGTTGTTTCTCCCGATTGCTACGTGACGACGACTCATTCGTACCTTTCAATAAGCACTTGGCGCGACCGCGAGCGGTAACGAGGGGGTTTCTTTTCGCTAGAACGGGCAAATGGGAGCGATTAATAAAAAAGGAGGGAGGCAGGCGTCTCAGGGGGGCACCCACTGCATTCCTGAGGCACAGCCATCTTGGAATGTGACCCCGGGTCCCCCCGTCGGGCCCAGAGCGGGGCCGGCACTGCCTGGCCCGTCGCTGTTTGCTTCTTCTATGCGCCTCCTCGTCTCCTCAGGCCCCGGTGGACCCCGCTCGTTTTGCAACACTATCATCAGCATACAAGGCGTACAACACGCACACACACAAGCATGCAGAAGACGTGGGCCACGCGCACAAAGATATCGGGGCCTGTTGGGCCTCAATACGCGTACAACAGCAGCCGCTATGTTACGCGTGTGCGTCTCGCGTTCCGAATATTAGGGCTATCTTCGTTACTCGTAAACCTCATCTAGATGTATCCATTAATCACGTTGTACAGGTTGTTTCACCGGATGTTCTTTGAACTACATTTCTTAGCGAATTTACAGCCAATTCTAAATAATTAATCAAGAAAAATATCATAATATAATAGTGGCGGGATTCTCTGGATGGGAAAACGTAAACCGTGGAAGAAATTTCTCCTTTATAAAGAAAAGTACCATTGATCTTTTCATTCGATCGAAATTTTTCTGCCGATTTTGTCAGAGAATTATTTGTTTCTTCACAACCTGAAATAACAAATTTTTGAATAATGTTAATGAGTGAATTAATATTCTCTAACTACTCTCTCTATTTTTCAATATATTAAATAACATTTTTTTATCTACATTTAGATGTAGCGTTTTCTCGTACAGATAAAATAAGATAGAAACCTGCTATACACTGCACGCACGCGTTTAAGCTGAAAAAATCAGGGATGTGATCCCAAAATAAGACAGCTCGAAATATCTTAAAATATTGTTCCCAGAATATCTCGATAAAACCTTGCGAGACCTCCGCCGGCTTTTGCTAGAAAAAATATCATATTATTGTCGACCACAAAAATCTGAGAAAACACGCATAATCAGGATGTCAAGCAAACGCTATATTTAAAGTGCTAGCTTAATATATCTTTCGCAGTATATCTCTATCGTACTTATACTAATTTTCTATTATATTTGAAATACATACACAATAGATTAATATTAAAAAATAACTAAATGAACATTAGCTTGATATACATATATATATTTTTTTTTATTAATATACACTCTCTTATTTTTGTGTGTCATTGCAACATTCATGTGTAATTCTTCAACAAAAGAAAGTGTTTAAGAACAAAATCGTTAGAGGTTTCGCTGTTGATCTACAAGTACTTATTAAGTGCTATTTTTCTCTTTCTCTCTCTTTCTCTCTGTACAAAATAGTACATAAATATATTCTGGTATTAATTGTATATATTAACTGTAAATATAAATTTGTGTTGGCATGTGTACGATATGACTTACAGCTATTATACACAGACTATTTTCTCACCTTAGAAATTCGCACAAACAGTATATAGCTATATAGCTATGTATATAGTATATAGCTATGTATATGTACTTGGAAAGAATATGTTTGTAGGAATGTACGTTGTCACAGAATATTGTTCTACAGCGTAAAATGTATTATCTTAACGACCAACCAAACGCAAAACTTCCACGATTGAAATAACACTACTGTTGCATCGCGTATTAAATAAATGCGTGCATAAATGCGTTTAGCATATATTACGCTATTAAATAAAGCGCAAATGCAGTTTTATTTATCTATATCATAGATCGACATGCGTCAAATGCACTCGCGATGTTTTTTTCTGTTTTGTAAGTTTTAATGCATCACTGATGCAAATAATTGTTGTCAATGCAATAAATTTTCGCGCATACTTTAACTAAAAATATAAATAAACTCTGAAAAATATATAGTATAAATATGCTTATAAAAAATGCGCGCGTATATTAACATGTAAATGATAGTTGCAAAATTTGTCTTTGATGTGACTCAATGTAACATGTATATGCGACATGAGAAAAAGTAACAGACCTAAGGCCAGACTTTGTTGAAAAGTTCCATGAAGGAATCGTAAATCATAAATGTTATAGCGACGTCTAGACATACTCTGCCCAATCTCGGAATGGTTCCTTTATAAAATGCCATTGGACCCTCTTTCTTCCATACTTGAACCACGCAATCCATACTGCTTTTGTATTTCGCAGCTTCTAATCCCTAAACATAAAATACATTGTAATTTCATTAGAATAAAATTTAGTACATCGTGCTAAAGTCATAAATCGATCTCAATATGATAAAAATAATTTCATAAAATTTTTACAATACATACCTGCATCCTAGTTTTAACAACGTCGATAGGAGTATTTCCGAAAACGGATGCCGCACCAGCGACTGCACCAAATATGCCAACAACTATTTTTGGAACACTTTTAGTATTGTCACCTCCTTTGTACCAATCTTTAAGCGTTTCCATCACAAAGAAACGGATAGCTTGATTGGATCCTTGCTTTAAAATGGTAGGTACTACTCCCTGATATACCCCTTTAAAACCTATGAACACAAAAGTTTATATACTACTGTAAATGCCCCAACTATACATACACACACACACACACACACACACATAAATAAATAAATAAATAAATAAATAAATAAATATATATATATATATATATATATATATATATAATACAGCAATTAAATTATTAAAACATTTATATAATAATTTTGACACTTTTATAATTTTTTTATTAATTATTTATAATAATACCTGAAACAATTTTAAATATTTAATACAATTATTTTTGGCATACTTGTAACAATAATTATATAATGAATGTTTTCATTATTTAATGAATAAACGAGTTTATAAGACTACTCTGATACAATGCATATAAACGCTGTGTAAGCATATGTTATCTGACCCAGTTAAACGAGACAGTTACATGATTCTTAATGAAGTTTCAAGGTTAGCTAAATTACTGTGCTTTCAATCAGATATTTGAATCACTGGAGTTTTACAATATTACTCCATTCTTCTGTTAATATAATTCAAAATAAAATTTTGAATATATATAAAATTCAAAATTTTTTTAATTTAAAAACACTATATTATAAAAAATTGAAATATAGAATATTACTATTTTTACAATCTAGAAAAGTAAAATATAATTTATAATTGATTCTTACCATGTTCCTTCACAATCAAACGCACTCCATGAAAAAATCCTCTGAATCTTGGATTTGCAGAACGTTGGTCATTAATAAATTTTACTTTAATAGTTTCCATGGGAGTAACTGCAAATATAGCTTCGCATACTCCAGCACAAAGACCTGCCAAAAGTCTTCTTTGTGGATTGAGCTTCCCATCTGCATCCACTAATCTTTTCTTTACTGATTCAAAAGCACCAAATCGCACTGCCGACTTTGGTATGGAACCATAAAGCAGAACAGACAAGCCTCTATATAGGCCAAAAAATCCACGAGTCTTGATAGTCTTAGTCACACAGTCAGCTATGCCTGTATATTCTTTGCCAGCACCAGCCTTTCCATCTAGTTGCAGCTGTGTTTTTACATATTCTGTTGGATATGTGATGCAAATTTCTATGCCTCCAGTGATGCCACCTGAAATTGCCCATTGTATTTTTTTTGTTAAGTGGAATAACTAATATTATATATATGACATTTAAGTAGTACTCCTAATTTTAAAAACAAGTATTACATCATTTCAAAGACAATTTTCATTTAAATGAGTATAATTAGAATAAGCATCTTTCATACAACATACAATAGAAAAAATAACATTCAAAATTCTTTATATGTACTTTATACATATGACAAAAGCTAATCACTACCATCATTATTGTAATTTAAATTCTTATTTCCATAAAAAAAATTACAAGTAAATTCCTAGTAGATGCAAATCTTAACATCTCCAGTCATCAATCCAGTTTTACAAATCATTCACAAGGCTGAAAGTTGTCAATGGTGAGGAGGCAAACGTAATCACGCCTAGTTCTCGTCGGCAAGACCTGAAAAACGCGATGGCCTTGCATGGGATATATATAATTTTACGAACTTTCGTAATCGCGCGATATTTCGTGTTATCACACGACTAGAGTGCGCTGACTATGCAAAGTCGTGTATATTGTTTTATCATGCTCGTGAACTAGCATGACGCTATTTACTCCGACAAGTGTCAAAGGTCGTTCTTCGCCCGATCAACAGAGAAAGAGAAAGGCAGAGACAGAGACATCATATGCCTTTCTCCAGAGAGAAAGGAGCCTTTCTCTAAAAAGAAAAATAAATAATCATACCCGCTATAATCCCTTTAATCCCAATGTTGCCAGAGGCGGCGACGGCGGCGGCGACGCCAGTTTCGCTCGTCCACGGCCTGCATGGAAACGGCAACGGGCTGTGACACGCGTTCGCCAACGTTGGCCGCTGACCCGGTTGCAGATACAGCTGCCGCGTCGTCAAATTTATATTCGACGCCACAGTTGTAGACCTAGACGTCGTCGTCGTCGTCGTCGTCATCGTCCTCGTCGTCGTCGTTGTCGTGCTCGTGCTCGCACTGTCGTTGCTTGTCCACCTACGCCGCTGGACACCGAGACTGGACTGCTGATACGCCAATTGACACTCATGTGCGCGCCTGGAGCGCGTAACGCACCGGTTTCCCCCATATTTCCCCCTTCCGATCGAGGCTCGTTGACAACGTCGTTTAGCATTACTTTACCTTGCCTCGCCTTTCTTCGTCTCGTTCCTCGCGATTCCTCGTGTTCTCTGACATACGTAACAACGTGCACGCATACGAAACGGAACTAGTGAGCAGAGCAATCTGCTCGTCTTAACTGCACTTATTGCACCCTCTGTGCTTAAAATATAAAACAAGTATATATATAGGATTGTCCAATAAATGGTTGAGTTTTTTTAATTCATCGATGGATCCATCACATGATGCGCAAATGCAGCGTTTCGTTATATTTACGTATTATGCGATGGATCCATCGATGAATTAAAAAACTCGCCCAATTATAAATTGCGCTTATGATCATACGTGTAAAAAGTTATACCCTTGTTAATCGGCCCTTTCACACGTTAATCATCTCGAAAACGGCAATACAAACTACTACAACCTCTCTCTATGATAAACAATTTTTCCAATTTGTTCAAACAGATATTTTTAAGATAAAGCCACTTCTCTCTACGCGAGGCAAAATTAATGTATATTTCTTGTGGAACCACACCTTTAATATTTTTCAACAAAAAATTTTAAACAAAAACAATCAGAGGAATTTCGAATAAAACGTTCAAGAATTTTTTTAACACGTAGTCCTATCTTATCAAATGATCGCAGCTCGAAATAACCTGTCATATCACAAGTTTTGTAACAATATTAATGCAACAAATATTAGACAAAGCATTGAAAATATATTACACATTAGATAACAACCGATTTATAATTGACAGTGACATAATGAGTATAATGAGTGCGAGAAAAAAGTAAAAAATTCTAATTATGTTCCTTACTATTGAAGTCACATTCCTATATTTGTTATCAGACCCGTTATGTAACATGGGTCGATAGCTATATATTATCGAACGTACAGTGATATATATTAACAGTTTAGTATGCTTAATTTTTCAAATATTAAAAAAATCTTTACTGGCTTAAGTATAATTACATATACATAATATTACCATTCAACTGTTTTTACTTTATAAAAGAAAAAAGTCGATGAATCGTACAGTTAGCATTATGACATACTTTTTTTTAGCGCGAACGCGATAACACCATCAATGCACGTCACTGTGTTACACATACATACATACATACATACACACACACACACACACACACACACATATATATATATATGTGTGTGTGTGTGTGAGTGTGTATATATATATATATATATATATATATATATATATATATATATATATATATATATATATATATATATATATATACACACTCACACACACACACACACACACACACATATATATATATGCATATACATATGATAGGAAATAACAAGTATTTGCTGATACAGTGACACAAATAAATTGACTGCTATTTCACGTAATACTGAACACAGCTGATGTCTTATAAAAGACAAACTAATCTCTGAATATAAATGTAAAGAAACAAATTTATTACATATGCAATTTGAAAATTTTATGAGTGAAAGATGGCTCGGTAAATATACGCGACATTCTGTGATAAAAATTCCATTTCAGTGAATGATAACATAGTTAAATCTTTTTTTTGGATACAACCATGTAACTTTGATTTTTTTTTAATACTCGTTTTCCTATATTTTATATCCTGTGATCAAAGATGTTGAAGTAAAAAATGTTATTTTGTTAGTTATATATGTGTGTGTGTGTGTGTGTGTGTGTGTGTGTGTGTGTGTGTGTGTGTGTGTGTGTGTGTGTGTGTGTATATAAATTTTAATATATAAATCTTAATATATAAATTTTAAATATCATAGAACCATATATATATATATATATACTAAAAATTATAAGATGACAATTCGATTGACGTCGATTGACAATTAAAAAACATTAAATTATATGCAGTTTCTCTTCTAAATACTCTTACATATCGTATTATTTACTGATTTTATCTACCAGCCAGGTGTTGTGTTCGCTAAACGTCGCATACGTCTGTAACAAAGAGTAAGAGTAATTAAGAGAATGATAATGTTTGATGTAAAAAGTTGTAGCAATGAAGAAATGCAAGGCATTCGTATCTCACCGGGTATTTCGATCCTGATCACGTATCTTCTTCTCCATCTCCGCGTCCGTTAAGGTTTCCAGGAACGGTGCCCATTGATCCGCCTCCGATGGAGGTCGGAAGGGAACTTCTACAGTGGGTAGTGGCGCCTCGGAAAACGCGTACGTCCTTTGATGCCACGACAATTGACCACGTACACTGCAAATGCAGTTAGATTGCATTAAAAGAACTTGAAATAATAAATATATTCATACGTGCCCATGTCATTGCTTATCTAACAGTTCATTTCTTTGACAAACTGAGCACTGCCAATTAACACGATAGAAAATGTCACTTGTTTCGCCTGCATAATTACGTGACATTATTTTGTACGAAGTAGCAGTGTGTGAAACTAGGAGAGACTTGTTCGTTGTCCTATAAGCCTATAAGCAATATGTACCTATAAGCGATAGCAGTGACGAATTCCCCGCCAAGGCCGAGTTCTGCGCAGAGCTTCATCGCGAACTTCTCTGGATTATTCTCCTTCTCTGACATATCCCATTCTACTTGGTCCACTAATGACGTGTTACCCACGTGTATATTTAACTTAATTATTACTCGTTGATCACACTGATCCTCTAATATTGTTTCCTGAGGGAATGCTTCTATTTGTTGTCTTATCGCTTGCGCGATTGCAGGAACGAACGTTAATGGATTTAAGTCTAAATCATCACACAATACTTCGGCGAATTGTTCGGGCGTTATGAGACTTTCTGCAGAAAAGAGAGATACTTTGTTTTATTGCTTTATAATTTATTGTCTATGTAATTTATTGTCATCAAATACAAGAAAATTTACCGTTTTTGTTCCATGTAAATGTATCTCTCAATTTTTGGCCTTCGATTTCCATATCTAAACGTATTGGGACAAGCATCTCTTGTTGCGCTGCATTTTCTAAATTTGCTGATGGATCCGTGTCATCAAAACTATATAGACATGAAATAAAAATGAAAAATTAGAAATTTGTGTTTATACAATTAAAGGGATAACAAAATATACCTGATTGGCATAAAAATAACTTGTTCAAATTAATAGAATAGCTCTAAATATTTAGTTATTGTAACTTTGTTCTTACCATAATGGAAAAGTCCTAACTTTTTTATTGTGTACTCTATTGCGATTTATTGGTGTAGCTTGAGGTACTGCATCTAAATGTGAACTATTTGGCAAACTGGGGACCCAAGCCATCGACTTTTTGGTCTTGCCTTCTCTAGGTGCAGGTGGTTCAGTTGAGTGCACGGATACAGCTTTGTACTTGTCATCATTACCCTCGATAATATCCTCCACCTCACTAGCTCTCAAGAGCGAAACACTGGATGCAAGTACATGTTGACTTAATCCGAGCTCTACAAGCTTCTTACGTTCATCATTAGTTATGGATCTCCTGAACATGCCAGGATATCGCTTATAAAGAGATCCGCGAAATAGACGCAGATAATTTCCAACTTCCGATCCGATGCAATAGTATTCCCCATTCTCCTCCACTTGGAAACTTATTGGTTTGTCACCGTACGTACGTAACGCCATTTTGAGGTTAGTTTCACTACATTCAAGCAGAATGCCGAAAATTAATTCCCGAAAACATACGATATTTGTAAAAGTGTATAAAGAAGAACTACGCACTTAATAACATGACAATCGAATGTATAAATTGAATGTGTAATTAATGTAATAAGAAAAAAATAGATAAAATTTTGTGTCTTAAAATGAATTATTTTGCAACAAGAGAAATATAAATATATATTTAGTATTTTTAAACAAGCTTAATTTTATCTGGAAACAAGAATTATACATTCACTAACGTTTATGAGCACTTGTAAATTCTCGTCAAACTAATTTGTTTATATCTTTGAGATCTTCCAACAATACACTAGAGAACGTTTCACTAACAACTCTCTTTCTCTCTCTCTTCTTTTGGTTAGAGACTTATAACCACAGACTTCTATATACTACTAGACTGCTAACTCCCTATGATCGGCCTGTAGGACTGCGTTCCAAAACTCTACTCGACGAGTAGGGTGCCATTATATGAAGCGCGGAAACGCGGAAACGCGGAAAACAAAATCTTACTAGATTTCCGCGTTCGCAAATTGAATCATTTCTTCCCGTACATATGTTGAAAAAGCGGAAAAGCGGGAGGCCCAAAACTTTTCTCTATTGTCTTTTCATCCAAGGTTCCAAGGTATGAATTCCAAAAAAATTTCAGGTCCGAACGTGTTTGAACACGTCTTAATGTAATGGCGGTTAGGTTAAACAACTTGTGATAACTTGTGACAACTTGTGACAATGGATTTTTCCGCGCTTGTTCCGCGACTTTATTTCTCTTTATATTACATGGAGCACAATTTGCGCGGAAAAGTGGAACGGTTTGATGACAAATAAACATCTGTATTCATTTTTTAAATTGTATTAACTTAATTTACTGCAATTTTTACTAATATGTTTATCTTTTCAACTTATCTGTTGAATACAAGCATTTGAATTAATAAATACCGTTAAAAATTAATATTTCATAATTCCCCATACCGCTTTTCCGCTCAAAATATGCCTCATGTAATATAAGGCAATCAAACAGACGCGGAACGCGTAGCGGATCTAGTAAGATTTTGTCTTCCACGTTTCCGCGTTCCGCGCTTCATGTAATGGCACCCGTAGAGTAGCATTTAATTAACCAATAAGAACAAAGATAACTAGGATTTCTTTATCATAATTGGTTAATTAAATGTACTCTATCCATTGAGTAAAATTTTAGGAACGCAGCCTAGAAAAGTGAGGCAAAATTTTCACATAGTGTAAATTAATAGCGTATTCGACTGGCCCTGGGTTAATCGCTCCGAAAGCGAATAATTGGTCTGTTCTTTTCAGCTAACTGCCGAACTGGTGCAATAAGTTAAAGTGAGACAGGTATATGTTTTCTCACTCTAACTTATTGCACTAGTTCAGCAGTGCAGCTGAAAAGAACAGACCAAATGACGTCATAAGTCTCTACTAGCCAATCATAAAGCTTGTAAGTACTTGTTCGACCAATAAACGTAGGCTGAATAATCCAAAGTGGGTTAACCCACCAGTCGAACATGCTATAATGGAGGATTCACACTGCATCCAATATCCGACGTACGACGTCCGATATCCAATAGAAGAACAGCTTTCTAATAGAGGATTCAATTCTCCATAGGAAAGCTATTCTTTTACTGGATATCGGACGTCGTATGTCGGACATCGAACGCGGTGTGCATCCTGCATAAGACTCGTTTATGATGACATCATAAACCAGCCTTTATCAATAGACCAAGCACCTCTTCCGCAAAGTGAAGTTGACAACTGGCAGTTTAAAACAGAGAGAAGAAGTTGGATTAGAACTGATGAAATAAAGAAAGGTCAATGATAATGGGTGTTTTCTAATTGCTTAACCATCTTGATACACACGTATACAAATCAGTTTATTGGACATATATTAACTAAAATATCTTGTAAGATAATATGTAACCAATAAACTGGTTCTGTATAACATAGTGTACGCAAATGAAAGGCACCCAATAAAATGTGACTTTATGTGGCTGATGTATCGTACGCACCAATCAGATTCACTTGTCAGGGCACAATCCACTTGCCATTGCAAATGCTTCCAAGCGCAGTACAGATCAATTACAGCCATTTTTGCGCGTTCGATGCATTTGTAACTTGAAGTAAGTCTTTATCTCAATATTTTTATTGGCTTGGTTTACATCGTACACTTGATACGCGTACTAAATAGTAACTTTCTATTAGATACTTTAATATCGATGATATATATAAACAACGGTATATTAAGCTGACATAATACTCATCAACAAAACGTATTATATTGATAGAATGCGTCGCTGTTGATATGCATTGTCGATATTAAGATTATCTAATAGAAAGTTACTATTTAGTACGCGTATCAAGTGCACGATGTAAACCAGACCTATTATTGGTCAGTTTTTTACAACTTTACAGTTACGGTTAAAATTTTTCTACGTGCAAAGGCCCTTTGAACAATAGAAGTCAATAATCGGTTTAAAAGTATTAATTCTCGCCATAATCGAGTTGTCAAACAATCAATTACAAAATGTTTATGTATCGAAAAGAAATAATCGATTATAGCTATAATCGGTATCGGTATTGGTATTGCCCATCTCTAATTGTAGATCGGAATTAGAGATGCCCGATTCTGAATCGATTCGATTCTTTCCCCAAAAATAGGCTTATGGCTCCTGCACACAGGACGCGGTAATGCTTGCCGCGCGGCGGAAGTCCGCGCGACAGCCAATTAATATGTTGTTTTTCCGTAAGAGCTAGAAGGTTATTACGGAAAGCAGCATATTGATTAGCTGTCGTGCGAACTTCCGCCGCGCGGCAAGCATTACTGCGTCCTGCGTGTGCAGGAGCCATTATTCGTGTTGTTTGCACTCTTCGCATTTTTCGTATTTAAAACTAGACAGAAGTATATTGGAATGTTTCGAAGAAGCAAAAACGAGACAACCAACTCGATTGTTTCTTCTAAGCGTCTGATTAGGTGCCCATCTCTTTTTAAAAGCGAAAAGTATGAAACATGCAAGCAGCATGAACAACTTTTTTTCCCTAAATTTGTTAGGGAAAGAATCGAATTGATTAAGAATTGGGCATCTCTAATCGGGACAAAGACCTTCAACTGACGTTTCGTTACTAGTCAACGAATTTTCTTGGCTGCGTTCCAAAACTCTACTCGACAGATAGAGTAGCATTTAATTGACCAATAAGAATAAAGATAACTAGGATTTCTTTATCATGATTGGACGATTAAATATACCTACCCGTTGAGTAGAGTTTAGAACGCAGTCCTTATTGGATGTCGGAATGTCCGTCGCAATCATTTATCGCGTTATCAAAGCAGTGTGAATTTCCCATTATTCTGACATGTGCACTGAGCCTCCGATAACATGCGAAGTGTCATACGCTCTGTGTGATATACGCGTTCGTCTATAGTTTGTAGAATATAAGTGTCAGTGGTGGAGGGCGTTTTTCGATTTTCGTGGCTGCTACGGATAACGTTCGATCGGTTTCGATCGCCGCCCCTTCACCCCTTGCAGCTCGTTGCAATTAAATAGACAGGTAATTAATGAGCCTCGAACGGGTAGTTGCTGCGGCCACTCCAGATGCAACCGTTTGAGATGCTCCGTAATATTTCACGCTTTTATTATGTTCTATCGGCGCCTCGCATTATCATACTCTCTTATCGCCCTTTCGTATCTGTTCGACATTTCTCGTGTGTTGTTTCAATTAGCTTTGCGTTAAATATAGCTTGACATTTGCCACTGCGAATTCGTCAATGAGAGTTAGCGTTATGGCACCATAGATTCTGGACATTGATCCAGTCTCTGTTCACTATAGCGAAATCTTATTTAATTTTCCTGCAGACCCCTTTACGTGCAGGCGCCTCGGAACTATCACCGCCTCTCTCATACGCGGATTCATCGACTAATGTGATTTTTATTTCTAGAAATAACTTGATTTTTAAATGTTTTGTCCTTTTACTACTTTGCTATTGTCAGATATCTTGATTTAATTATCAAAATAAATTTTTAATTGATCGTTAAATGTTAAATAAAATATGTAGGAGAGATTTTGTGTTAAAATTGTTTATAGCTTGACAGTTATTGAAACTGTAACAATTTTGTTAAAGAAAAATAACATTAGGTTGATGAAAAAATCCATGAATGAAAACACAGTGATAGTTCTATATACATGTACATGATTTTATATTGTAAACAAAAAATTTACCTAATTTTTTATTATTATATGTTATAGACAAGATGACCGATTCAAAATATTTCACTACTACCAAGAAGGGAGAGATATTTGAACTCAAGTCAGAATTAAACAATGAGAAGAAGGAAAAAAAGAAGGAAGCTGTAAAGAAGGTAATGATAATTTGTCTATATTGTTATTTAAATAATTAAAATTTTAGGCATAATTATAACTTTTCCTTTATTAATAATCCTATATATTACAAAAAATCAGCATTTTTATGCAGCATTTGTGCAGGCTGATGGAGGTAATATATTAGGATTCGTTAAAATAAACTATAGAATTCGTAACAAGAGAAAATTTGGATTTTATGACTCCAAAATCATCTCTCTGTAAGAATATTTATTCTATGTCATATTTATGATTTGTTTTTTTTTGCGATAATTGAACTGGGAATGTATGAAGAAAGATGCTTAGAATCATTTTTGTATGTTTTCTTTATGTGGTATATACATATTTTTGTTTTCAACTAAATATATATTAAACTAAATATATATTAAACTGAGGATATTTAATTTAATATTGTTTAAATCAATTTCATTTCTCTCATTTTAAAGTAATATAAAATGATAACAAAACTCTATATTTGTTAAATATATTGCATTTATATTCTATCATCTGTATCACATTATTCTACTTAGTAATATTAATATATTGTTTGTTCAGGTGATTGCTTCCATGACAGTGGGAAAAGATGTATCCGCACTGTTTCCCGATGTGGTGAACTGTATGCAGACCGACAATTTGGAGCTGAAAAAACTGGTGTACCTGTACCTGATGAACTATGCTAAGAGCCAACCTGACATGGCCATCATGGCGGTCAACACATTCGTTAAGGTAACGTAGCTTAGAAACTCATCATTAATTCGTCATCACTGATTTTATTATATAACGCACTTTTACCCTCTACATATATTTTTTAATGACACTTGGATGATGTTCAGAGTCTGTCTGTAAAGAGGCAAGCTGAAAAATTGTCTGTGTTCCTGATGACAGTCGGATTGTAAATATCATCCCTCTCCTCTATCGGGTGTCCTCGCTGTTCATTTTTACAGCGTGCCTCGCCACTGTCTACAGACTGTGCTTTGCAAATTACAGTTTGCACAGAGCTGTCTGCGTTATGGGACGGAATGTATCTTTTCATTCTTTGCGACTGAATTGTTTATTTTTCAAAGGGCACGGGTCTGGACTTTGGTTGCTTCAATTTTGTACTTTATCAATGGATTGTTGTATTATTATCTGGACGGTTGAATCAATACATAACGTTGGAGTAACTTTTTTTTTTAATTTTTATTATTACAAAACCAAATTCCAGAATGTACTCCGTTAGGTATACCATATTATATTAATAGGAGAATGAATCTGTGTATTCATATAATAATTAGTATGCCGGAATTGATATAGAGTAATTTAAAGTCTCATACATATGTTACTTTCCTCACGCTAATGCACTGATACATCGTTTTGTTTTCTCGGAATTAAGCATGTAAATTTTTTCCGAAAAATTCACGCAGACTTTAATCTATAACATTCGGAACGCTTTGAGCAGATTGTATATTTATTCTCACGATGCTGTATATGTCTTACAATATGAATATATTAAATTGATTTTTCTTTTCTTTAATTCCAGCTGCAATACCATCTCAAGTCAAAGAGTTAGATTCAAACATTAGTTCTTTATTCGCAGATATCTAATGTGCAGCAGCATGAAAAATGTGATTCCTTCAGTGTTAATTTCATATGTATGATACTGCCTTACAATTGGTGCTTGTATAAGGATCATATTTGCTAATTGCACGCAACTCGTCCTTACTACTCAAAATTTTAGTGTATCTAATGAATGTAATTCGTGTTATAAATAACGTTCCATGATGCGATTTATTTTAATATTTGTAAATATACTCTTTTCTATGTTGAACAAAGTATATCATCTAAGTTATCTTTATTTGCATGATGCCAATATTGGTGTAACATTGCGATCTAATTCATCATTAGCAAAGTCATACAATTGTATGTAAAAAGAAACGAATGGAAAGAATAAAAGAAAAAAGAAAACTTACGAAAAATATAATACGAATTACGAAAGATACCTCGTGCTCTTTAAAAAATAATCAGTTCTTAATTGCATTATTTTAAATGGCTGATAAGTATAGTATTTAACACTTAATCAAAATGGTGACGGTGACCAATTTGACCTTTTTCGTTCTGACACGCAAAAGGAGCTAGCGACATCTCCGATAACAAAGGTACCATACCACTTTCTACTTTGTTAAAATTCATGGGTTGAGATAGATAGCCACTACTGTGACTAGACTTGAATCCCTGGCTTGCCCGATTTTTGCGCAGGATTGCGAGGACCCAAATCCGCTGATTCGTGCGCTAGCAGTTCGTACTATGGGTTGTATACGCGTCGACAAGATAACTGAGTATCTGTGCGAGCCGCTGCGAAAGTGCCTGAAGGACGAGGATCCGTATGTCCGCAAGACGGCAGCCGTATGCGTCGCCAAGCTTTATGACATTAACGCTGCCTTAGTCGAGGACCAGGGATTTCTGGATCAATTAAAGGATCTTCTGTCTGATAGCAATCCTATGGTACATATGAATTTATCTGGGAGTTCGATAAATCTTTAGTGACTAATCATATACATTAAAGCTCTACAAAGTCTGGTTTTACAAAAAATTTATGAAATTTATTCACAAAAAATTTATGAAATAGTATCTTATAGAACATCAAAAAATCAACAAATAAGCAAACGAAAATTGTATTAACAAAGAAGTAAAATTGTATTATATACTTTTAAGCTTCTATAAATGCGAAATCTTAATGATGCACCTATTATATCTGACCCGTCACTGTTCGAAGATGATATCGTTACTAATAGTACGATAATACGTAACAATTGTTGCTAGGTTGTCGCAAACGCAGTAGCTGCATTGTCCGAGATCAACGAAGCCAGTCCAAGCGGTCAACCGCTGGTGGAAATGAACGCACAGACCATCAACAAATTACTGACAGCGCTTAATGAGTGCACTGAATGGGGCCAAGTTTTTATCCTGGATTCACTTGCAAATTACTCTCCCAAGGACGATCGCGAAGCACAAAGCATCTGCGAACGGATCACCCCACGCCTGGCACACGCTAATGCTGCAGTCGTACTTTCCGCTGTTAAAGTAAGTATATAAGTGAAGGATCTAGCACAGACGAGAAAAACATAAATGAAAAAAACAAATTTATCTAATTCTCCTCCTGTATTCTTTAGATTGATTACTAAGCTATTTTCAGCTTTTTTTAGCGGAATTATATTTTTATATTAACTAGACTCATCTCAATATTATAGGTATTAATGAAACTGATGGAGATGCTGCAGTCCGAATCAGATTTTGTGGGCACACTTACGAAGAAATTGGCACCGCCTCTCGTCACGTTATTAAGCTCTGAGCCAGAGGTACAATACGTCGCGTTGAGAAACATCAATCTCATCGTACAGAAACGACCTGATATTCTAAAGCATGAGATGAAAGTATTCTTCGTCAAATACAATGATCCCATATACGTTAAACTCGAGAAACTAGACATCATGATCCGCTTAGCCTCGCAAGCTAACATCGCGCAAGTCTTATCGGAATTGAAGGAGTATGCCACGGAGGTCGACGTGGATTTCGTGAGGAAGGCTGTGAGGGCTATCGGTCGTTGTGCCATCAAAGTGGAACCGTCCGCAGAGCGTTGTGTCTCCACATTATTAGATCTGATACAAACCAAGGTAACGCTATTTAAAAATAGCCAGAAATTATAGATAGATACAGTATATGTAGGATAGATAGATTGTCTCTACGTAGACTGTCGAGTCACATATATATATTCTCGACGATCTATTTTAAATTCATTCTGCGTTCTTTTCAATATTGCGCGCTGAATCATCCCCAAAATAATAATTATATAATTTTCATAGGTGAATTACGTTGTTCAAGAAGCGATAGTGGTAATAAAAGACATCTTCCGCAAGTATCCCAACAAGTACGAGAGCATAATTTCAACATTGTGTGAGAATCTCGATACACTCGACGAACCTGAGGCGCGCGCTTCCATGATTTGGATCATCGGAGAATACGCCGAGCGTATCGACAACGCGGACGAATTGTTGGAAAGTTTCTTGGAGGGATTCCACGACGAGAACACGCAGGTACAGCTGCAGTTGCTCACGGCAATCGTGAAGCTGTTCCTCAAGAGGCCCACGGACACGCAAGAGTTGGTGCAACAAGTTCTCAGCCTAGCTACGCAAGATTCCGACAATCCAGATCTACGAGATCGCGGATTCATCTACTGGCGATTACTCAGTACCGATCCAGCGGCGGCCAAAGAAGTTGTGCTCGCTGAAAAGCCGTTGATCTCGGAAGAAACTGATCTATTGGAACCGACGTTGTTGGACGAGTTGATCTGCCATATCTCGAGCTTAGCATCCGTCTATCATAAACCCCCTACAGCTTTCGTAGAGGGCAGAGCTGCGGGCGCCAGGAAGTCGTTACCAGCTAGGAGCAATTCAAATGAGGATTCTGGTCAACGTGCCACACAACCGCACACACAAGTCATACCCTCCCAGGAATCCTTGATAGGCGATCTTCTTAGCATGGATATCAGTGAGTGAAAGGATATTTAAACATAAATTCAAATTTATTTTTAAAAATTTAAATTTAATTTATGTTAAACTCAGTACTTTAAGTATTTTAATTTTGTCTGCTTTTTGGAAATTGCAACTTATAATTTCTCTTTATCTTATTATCCTGGTCACTAAAAAAGGAGCGATTACTCCGTTTTTATGTGACTGCAGTAGCTAACTACCGCCGTTGTCTTTCATCGACGTACCTGTTTTAATGAAACTTATGAAACGTTATCTATATATTCCAGGTGGACCGGCGATAGTTCAACCGGCACCCATTCCTCAGCCTGCAGGATTGGGACTAGATCTTTTGGGCGGTGGTTTAGACGGAATTTTGAGCAACACTGAGAACACGAGCGCAGCACCGGTTGTTTCTCAAAGCACAACGGGTCTACTCGGCGACATATTCGGCTTCAGTCAAGGACCCACAGCTTACATACCTCCCAAAGTTAATTGGTTACCAGCGGAAAAGGGCAAAGGCTTCGATATCTGGGGCACATTCACGAGAAAGTAAGTAATATAGAATATTACTCCTTTCGAAAGAATACTATGACACCTATATCTTAAAAGAAAAAAGAACCAATACTTATTTTTTCCATGGTATGGAAGAACAGATGTCAATTTGTTTTGTATTACAAAGAACACGTTTTTTACATGTTTCTCGATTGCGAATAATTGTATCACGAAATTTTTTGTCTATATGACAGGAATGGACAAATTAGCATGGACATGACTTTTACGAATAAAGCGATGCAGCCCATGGGAGGATTCGCGATACAACTTAACAAAAATAGCTTCGGATTAACGCCAGCTGCCCCATTGCAAGTAGCAGCTCCTCTGAGTCCTGGCGCTAGTATAGAAACGAACATTATATTATCGACTGCGGGTGCGGTGCAACGTATGGAACCTTTAAATAATCTTCAAGTCGCTATCAAGAATAACATCGACGTTTTCTACTTCGCTTGCATTGTGCCCATGAATGTATACTTCACTGAAGATGGACAATTGGATAAGAGAGTATTCCTTTCGACCTGGAAAGATATACCCGCGCAGAACGAGGTATTGCTCTAGCTTTTTTATTATATTTATTAACGGATATATTACTATACTAATTTTGGGAAATTTGACAATCGATAATTTTTTTATAGGTGCAATACACATTAAACGGAGTGATGCTGACGGCTGATCAAGTTGTACAGAAGATGCAACAGAATAACGTCTTCACAATCGCGAAGAGGAACGTGGAGGGGCAGGATATGCTCTATCAATCGCTCAAACTGACAAACAATGTCTGGGTGCTGAACGAGCTAAAAATTCAACCAGGCAATCCTGATGTTACAGTATGTTTCCATCCTTATTATTCGTATTATGATGAATTTTATCTTAAGCTTCGTTTCATATTATAATTCATTTTCTTCTCATTGCAGCTGTCTTTAAAATCTCGATCTGTAGAAGTCGCTCCTGGAGTATTCCAAGCGTACAATGCAATATTGCATTCTTAAATTTTTTTCCCAATAATTAGGATACATCGCTATAAAATGCGGATTGTAAAAGACATTATATAAGTGAGCATGTGCTGCAGCCTATTTATAGAAGCTATCTGTTACATCTGTATTGTGCATGAGACTCAAATATCCTGGAACTCCATATTATAGACTTCTGTTACAGATTATCGAATTTATTATAAAAAATCACGAATGATATGTACGAAAATAAAAATTTATGATCACGTGTACGTTATATTTAAATTTTCTCTCCTATTTTTATTTTCTATGTAAAAGAGAATAACAATTTTTTTAGATACATATGTCCACATACATGCCATTCACATATATCATGAACTAAAAATTAATATAAATTCTTGTTGAATATAAAGATTAATATTTTTCTTAACAAACCTTTATAGAAATCACTGAAAATAATATAATTCTATATAGAATATTCAGTAGATAGGCTATATTCAGTAACTAAATAATAGTGCATAATATATGATATAATAGTTTTTATTTATAAAGTGTGGGATACAACGAGCAAAATTAACATTGCACCTTTCTTCTAAAAGAGCAACCTTCCGTTAACCTTGCTTTGCCACCTGTCGGTGTGCAAAGTATCGTTCTGCATCCATCACATTCCACTGGTCTCTGGGCATGTGAGAAAATAGTTTTGATGGCATAGCAACCAGGGCATTTTACATCCATAAAATAGCTATTTGGTTTTTGCACAAGCCTCTTCAGTTTATGCTTTCTCTTCTCCTCTATCGGACTAGGATGAAGAAAGTCTCTGGCCAGTGGCATTCTGTAAAATAAATTGTAGTTTTAGAAAGTGTCATTTGAAGAATTCTTATAAGCTACTATATATAATAAAGAAAATACTTTCTTAGACACGTTTATAAAATTAGATTTATTAAAACAAGAATATGCAACATTGTGCAATTTTACAGTGTACTATTGATATTTAAGTACTTAAGGAAAGAGATAAAAAAATAGTAAAAATGCAATTTTTTTATGTTGTATAACGGCTTATTAATATAGGTATAATAAAGAATATGTAACTGAAAGAGACAAGACGCGAGTAGTGTACTAACGCATTCTCAACATACGATGATGAGTGATACCGCGACCGAAGCCATGACATACCTCTCATCGATATGTGTATATATAATCTATCTCTGATCGAATTAACACTAACTTTTTACGAATAAATAAAACCCGCATAATAGCGAACGAAATGATACTAATACTTACTTAATTTGCTGAGTATTTTGTCTTAAACTTGATAATTGCGACCGTAACCACGTGTTTATACAGCAACGTACGCACTGGAAAAGAAACAGCAGCCGACTTGATGCGACATTTAAGTCTCTAGAATCTCGTCAGAATTACCAACTGTTTTACTAACCAGTTTTTTCCTCAAAATAGTACGACTCAACGACAAGTTGGACAATTTTTGTTTTTAAATGATTCAACTCAAATGGTGAGAAAATCTTTCTTATTTAATTTATTAAAGTAGTTAGTCAATTTATTTACGGCATAAGTACGGCTTAAGGCCTGTATAAATGCCAGTATGGTTAGGCGACAATTTCCCGAAAAATGGAGGGGATAATGTTGGTACCAAGAGAAATCTCTACATGGTATAATTTAAAGATCTGTTTTTTGTAACTGCACTACTGAACTAATGCAAAAAGTTAGAGTGAGAAAACGTATACTTGCCTCATTTCAATTTATTGCACCAATTTAGCAATGCAGTTACAAAGAACAGAATCTTTAAATTATATCGTGTAGAAATTTTCCTTGGTACCAACATTATCCCCTCCACTTTTCGGGAAACTGTCGCCTAACCGAAAATCTTTCTTACTTAATTTATTAAAGTAGTTAGTCAATTTACTTACAGCATAAGTACGGCTTAAGGCTTGTATAAATGCCAGTATTCCTAGTCAGATCTTATAATTAGAACAATCTTAGGCCGACGTCCTATAGGGCGGAAATTCTCCGCGGAACGAAACACGCGGAACCAGTACGACTAATTACAGCCGTTCCGCTCTTTTTTGTGCCGTTTCGTTATAATTTTACCGCTGCAATTTTGCGGAAAGGATAAAGATAGTCGCGGATAACCTTAACATATCTTACATATCTCATTTGCTTCTTATACACTTAATATATATATATTTTTTCGACATTCTTTATTATTTCGTTTAGAAATGATGAGTGGAGGGATCGTAAGTACCCAGATAGAAATGCGTGATGATTGGTGATCATTTCAATGTGACTTCATATTGGGCGCGTTCAGCAGACGCAACTGTTGTACAACTGTTGTGTAGATGTCTGCTGAACGCACTTCGCTCAGTTACCGCTACTCAACATGTTCCGGGAGCGGACGCCATTTTTCCCATTAAACTTTTTCTCCGCTACCTACGCGCAACATGTTGCGAAACAAGATGGCAGCGCACATGAGAGAAGAAAGAAGTAAACACTATTAAAATCGTGTATTATAGTATATTTTTTAAAATGAGCTTAAGAAATTGTGATACGTAAATTGTGATATGTAAATCTTGCATCTAGCAATTACCTGTCACACAAGTAAAAATATGCCAATATAATAGAAAAGAGGGCCAGCGATGTAACGAGCATATAGAAATCTTGTATCTCTAGCTGCTTAACTTGAATAACTTCCGAAATACCAGCTTTTTCCGTATCTTCTTTCCTCGAAAGTCTATCAGCTATACCAATCGAATCTAACCTCTGTCATATTCCAAATAAGTTGCGGTCACGTGACGAGATACACTGAAGTCACGTGACGAGATGTGAGATAAACCGTGTTCAGCCCGTTCAGCAGACACGATTTTCATCACTAAGCGCTA